ACTGTGGTTTTGAACTCTATATCCAGTAGTTTGCTTTCCTCCATTTCTGTCATTTGTGACCTGTTTTTGTCTCTGCATTTTGGCTGCTTCTCTGTGTTGATAGAATGGCTTTGTGTGCTAGGTGTCCTATAGGCTCCAGTGGCTCAGCCTCCCTAATTACCTAAGGTGGTAATTAGGGAGGCTGTGTGCACCCCTTTGTTAGCTGTGTGCACAGTCTTGTTGTAGTTAAGCCTTGACTGCTGTTGGTATCACTGGGAGGAATTGACTTCCAGGCCAATTGGCTGTGAGGAGCAGCTGTGTCTACAATGGGAGAATTGCTATGCTGGAGATACCCTTATGGGGCAGGACTTGCTTCAGTGGGGCTTTGGTGCTCACTGAGTCTGCCTCTTGAGTGTGTGTCTCTTATGGATGTGAAGAGTTGTAATCTGGTATGGTCTCACACTGACCACTGCATACACTGGCACTTGGATCTCGAAGGAGGTACAAAGTCAGCCAGTGCCTAGGGCCACACAGCCGGGGCTGCAGAGAGATCGGCAGATTCCTCCTCTTTGTATGAGGTTTGGAAGTGCCCAGATGATTTGTAGGTGGAGAAAGGCCAGGTCATTTGTATGCAAAAGTCTCTACTCACAGCTTGGGTGGGGTTGTAAATTGAGTGGGGTGGGGGTCTCAGGGAATCACCAGGGTGGAGCAAACTGCAATGGCTACCAGTCTGCTCGGCCTTGGAAAGGTCCTGGGGTCTCTGTGTCCCCCGGCCCCGTGCAGGAACAATGATCGCTGCAAGCACCTCTGCAAGAAAGCCGCCCTCGTGTCCTGTCCCAATGCCAGACAGTCCAGTTTCTCCCGGTATGAGTCTGGGTCCCCAGAGTCTCTCCCAGAACTGGAGTTCAGAGCACTTGGGAGCTTGTATCTCCCTCCCAATTGAAAAAGACAACAGTGCACCCAGTTGCCAGCCCGTTTTGAACGCGCCTCCCTACCTCCGCACTTCCGCACCTCCTATCACTCTCAATGCGCTTTTCTCTTTCCACTCAGCCAGCCTTCCCATGGTTCTGGATGATATCCGTTTTTTCTTTTAGTTGTAGTTTTGATGTAGTTGTGCGAGGCAGCAAGTACAGGTGTTTACCTATGCCGCCATCTTGATTCCTCTCAGCGCTTCCTATCTTAGAGTTTGCAGCAACCATCATCACCAAGGAGATCATTGTTCCTACTTAAGGGGCTCATTATAAAGTGAATATTCCTGTAATCAGTATGGTTTACTTTGATATAAAAAAATGGAGGCGGCCTCTTCATTGCATCCATGTATTGCCCCTCTATCTCAGGATGACTTTTTATTACAGGGACTGAAGAGAATGATGACCCTCCTCGTATCGGCTTTAACATCCTTTCATTCTCTTAAAGGATTTCTTCTTTTTTTGCCTCCATTACAACTGAAATTATCTATGCACTTTTTGAACATACCTGCATTTTCCGGTTTATATCATCTATTTGGGTAATAAGTTCCCTGAATTGTTTACCTGTGAATATGTAGGTTTTAAAACAATTTCTAACATTATGTTTTCCAAGTTTTAATGGACACCTCCTGGTTCTAGTATTGTACTTTATAACAGTGAACAAGTCCATGTTCATACTATATGTACAGTTGTCCCTTGATATCCAGGGGGAATGGTTCCAAGACACCCCCGCCCCCCGAATACCAAAGTCCCTGGATGCTCAAACCCTTATATAAAATGGCATAAGACAATGCAGACAGTTGGCCCTCCATATCCACAGATTCCCAATCGCAGATGGAAAATACTGTTCTCCATCTGTGGTTGCTTGAATCTACACATGCAAAAGCCTGAGATACAAAGGGCTGTTTCTTTATTGATAAAATCCACGTATAAGTGGACCTGTGCAGTTCAAACCTGTGTTGTTCAAGGGTCAACAGTATTACTATTGCAATATAGAGTCCTAGACCTCCCCAAACTGTATCTAAACCAAACAAAAATATGACTTATTCAACTATATGGGGTTTTCTAGTTTCAATTATTTTGTTAATCTGAACCTAAAATTAGGTTTCCCAAGGGTTTTGCATTTCTAAACTAGCTGTTTAACTGGAAGCACCCCAAACACTCTTGCTTTTATGTCCCCTTGGAGCATTTATGGGCTCTTAATCAATAGAAGTAAATTCATTATGAGCCTCCCATCCTTCAAAGATATTGCCTTTGGTTCCCAAATTTTGAATTAACCAGATTTTAGTGTAATTCTAGTTTTCTGTGGCCAAGTTTACCACCACTAAAAATGCCTAAAGGATCATTTCATTTGTTTTCTCAAAGTGCTCTGCACACAATGAATTCCTTTTAATTAAGAGCCTTTTTTGGTTCCATTTTTCTGTGCTTAGTCTCAGCTCAAAGGAAAATAGGGAAAGTGCAAATTTGGTAACATTATTCCTGACCTATTTGATAATAGGACAACAAAGGAGAGGGGGAGTTATAAAAATATTTTCTCTGTGTAGTCCTAGTTAGGAAGTCTGGAGAAAAAGAAGGGATTCTTACAGATTTGATTCAAACCCTTGTGTGGCTCAGAATGTCTTTGTGCTAAGGATCAGGATGAGGTCTCTTCCTGTGACAGAGAAATAGAAAATGCCACTATTGGACAGGGGTCCATGGTGAGGTACTAATGAGTACCATCTTCTCCTTGGTGTAGGTCAAGTCAATTTGAGATAACTTGATCTTTCCTCTATTCTTCCATCTCTCTGTTTCTTCTCCAGTTATGTCTTTCTTGCCCTTCCCATCTATCCTATCTTTGCATGCCTACATAGTCCTTATACTAGTCACTGGTATCCAAAGGTTGCTAAAAGCCATCAGGGACAGAGAGCCTGGCTACCTCATACATATTAGGGAGGTTCCATGACTAAGGAGAGAACAAGAGAACATGAATGAGAGCAAGGGTATTAGAGAGTTCTTTTTTTTCCCCCTCAAAACATACCTGAAAGTCATAAGCAGAATATGGTGGCAGGTGAGGAGGGCTATGGTAGTAGGTATTGTAGGATGCCACTTGAGGACGAGCATAATAAGAAACAGTTGGATGGGCATTTTCAACAGAACAGTTCAGTGCCGGGAGAGTTGGATTCTGTAGAAAACCACACATTAGAAACAGCATTAAAGTTCATCACTAGGAAAATGATTAAATAAACAGTGGTACATCTGTACTACAGAATACCATGCAGAAATAACCATTATTGATAAATAATTTAGTGACAGAAAAAGTTGTCCAGGATATGTTGTTAAATAAAAAAAATAATAAGCCACTGGAAAAACTATAGAGACAATGATCAGTGGTTGCCAAGGGTTGAGGTTGGGGGGCAGGATTAGTAGGTGGAGCATAGAGGATTTTTAGGGGAGTAAAAATACTCTATATGATGTTACACTGATGGATATGTCATTATACATTTATCCAACCCCTGAAATGTACAATACCAAGAGTGAACTATATGGTCAACTATGGCCTTTTGGGTGATTAAAATGAGTCAATATAGATTCATCCTTGGTAACAAATGTACCACTCTAGTGGGGGATGTTGATAATAGGCTATGTATATGTGGGGGCATGGGGTATATGGGAAATCTCTGTATCTTCCTCTCAATTTTGTTGAAAGCCTAAAATTGCTCTAAAAAATAAGTCTTTAAAAAGGAAGCCACCACATCTAACAAATCACTACAGGAAACATGAAAATATCTGGGAGATACACAATGGACTGACTCAGAATAAATTCTTTCTAAAATAAAAAAAAATAAAAAGGAAGCCATCATGTTATATTAATATAGCATGATCCCAATTTATGTAAAAAATAAAGACCCAAACAATTATATATATGTATGTTTGTAAATGAAAAGAAATTAATTTGGAAAGATTCACAACAAACTGTTAACTGTGGTTATCTCTGGGAAGGGGAGTAGTAGTAGGAGGTAAATGAGGACTCTTCACTTTCTGTTATATAGCCAGAGTTTTTACAACTAATATGAATACTTGTGTCATTTCTCCTCAGCTTATTTTGAAAAATTCAAACCTATAGAAAAGTTAAAATTATTTATTTGTGATATTTTAAAACAAAAAAGAAAAAAAAATAAGATCCAAAATATACAATGTCAAATAGACAAGGCTGAACAGGCTATTGCTTTTGCTATGAAAAAAATGTAATGGGTCACAAAGGGATTTTAAGAGTTGTGAGGATTCTGATAGATTCCAATCCTTTGAAGGAGCTCCCATGTAGACATGAAGTGTATTTATTTCTCATCAGCCCTTCAGGCTGGAGGCAAAACCCTAGCAGTGAACAGAAACCATGAAAGACCAAGCAGAGTATACCGATTCTTTTTTGCAAACAAAATAATGCAGAAAAAATTAAATACCATTCTAATGTGGTGATGTGTATAGCCCTTTAAAGGTTAAGGCTAATCTTGTCCCGGATGGGAGTCCTGCTCCCAACAGGGCCAAAGCATTGCTAAAGGAAGTCATCACAGCTCATTAGTTCCCAAAGAGGATTGTGATTTGTATCTTTTGAGTGCCACATGGGTCAAGGTGTGGGGCAAACATTTTTTCCATTTTTCATGTCATTGAAACCTCCATTTGTATGGATAATCAAGAGCTGTTTTCAAAATCAATGTGTCTTGTTTCTGGTACACATCCTATATAATAAAAGGGTAATATGCAAACTGAACCTAAGGGCAGAACAACCCAGAAAGACTGGTCACTATGATGCGCACTGACCACCAGGGGGCAAACGCTCAGCACAGGAGCTGCCCCCTGGTGGTCAGTGCCCTCCCACAGGGGGAGCTCCACTCAGCCACAAGCTGGGCTGACCTCTCCCACCTCCTCGGCAGCATTAAGGATGTCCGACTACGGCTTAGGCCCGCTCCCCCCACGAGAAGGTGGACATCCCCCAAGGGCTCTTGGGCTGCCAGAGGGATGTCTGACTGCCAGCTTAGGCCCAATCCCCCAGGGAGCAGGCCTAAGCCAGCAGATGGACATCTCCCAAGCTCAAGTCAAAAAGTTTGCCCACCCCTGTCCTAGACTGTGAGAGGGCTCAGGCTGGGCTGAGGGAACCTCCCGAGTGCAGGAATTTTCATGCACTGGGCCTCTAGTATATTCTATATTAATAGAGAGCAGCAGCTTACTTTCAAAGTTATAAAAATGTGTGGGCAGGCTTTGGCAGTGGCACAGGCAACCATATTGGGGTGTTGGCAGGGGAAACTCCCTTATAGCAAGTTTCAACACAGTTCTGTTGCTCTCTTCTTTGGTGTGGGTTACTGTTTACATTTCTAGGAGGCTTGAAGAGCTACAAACCTCAGCCATTATGATGCAGCTCACAGGCAACCAGAGAAATGTTTGTTAGCCTCTCTTATTTGTGGGAGAGAGCTGAGATCTTGTATCCCAAGGCTTTATTTGCTTTACAGAGAAAGAGTGCTCAGAAATGCCCCTACCTCTCCACCAGAATTCTAAGAATAAATTTCATCCCTGGAGGAAGTCCCATAAATCATATTCCCTAGGCCTTCTGTCAATTAAAAAAAACCCACATCTATAATCAAGAGATTTGACTAACCAAGGTGGATTAGATAGTCATTATCCATCTTTATCAGAATACATGCTTATACTTGGCTGCTAATGCTCTGGGTACAATAGCATGGTTTATCAAATACATCATAATAGATCAATGGTTCATTGTGTATTTTCTCAGAACAACAACCAAATACTTCCAAATATCTTTCCCAACTGTATAGCTAACATATGGCCAATTTTAATTCTTTATGTAGTAACTCAACAAATAATGAATTAATTATTTGTATTGAGTTAAAGAGGTAAGATGATAAATAGTATTTCTATAACTTGGCATCCAATTAGAGTATTTCTAGATTCAGTGCTTTATCATTGTCATTACTTTGTTTTCATATATTTCTTTTCCTAAAAATGAAATGTCACCAATGAAATCTCAGTAATATCCACCAACAAACAAACAAATAAACAAACATACCCTCCAGCTCTTGCAAAGTTCTTCTATGCAAATAAATTAAGCCTAACTATAGAGAAACCATCACGCAATGTAAACTCTATCTATAAAAATTTTTTTGTGTGTGTTCACCAAGTCCAGGGGGCCAGGATAATCTTTGAAAAGAAGTTGACTATTATAGAGAAAGAAACACAGACAAAATATTAGAGGAAGATTGAATGAACACTGAAAAGCCACAGAGAGAAGAAAGTCAAGAGTAGAGGACAGATAGAGAAAATGGACAGGGCAATAAGATAAGATGAGGGATTGAAGGAAGGAAGAGTGAAGAGTTGGGCAAGGAAGGAGCAAAAGAGATGGCCCCAAATAATGGTCTGGTTATGTTTTAAAGCAATAATTCTGATTTTACAATACATTTAAATATTTTTACAATAAATTTAAATACTTTTTCCATTTCCATGTCATCAACACCTTCTACATTTGTATGGATAATGAAGAGCTGGGCACTGTCTCTATTTGTGTGTGTATACAGGAATGTGTGTATTTCTATTAAAATTTCTGGAGTTTAAGCTATAAGACCCCCATTACTAATCAGTAGCATTCTAAACTCCAGTGAAATAAAGGCTGCTAGGTAGCGCAGGAAACATTGAAAGCAATCTAGTCTGGATAAAACGGAGTCTGTTCTGAGACAATAATTGTGGACTTTGGAAAGAATGCCACTTTTATTCCTCCCCACTTTACTCCAAACCAGAGACAACAATTAGGAGAAAATGACAAGATATTATCACTTTTGCAAGATATATTTCTAATCCTTATAGCTTTGGTCAGCAAATACTTTATCAAACATTTCTTTAGGATCCTTTCTACCAAGCACCTCTGGTCAGGGAATGAAGTTGTCCTTTTTCCTTTAAAGATCCCACAACTCTGGCAATGGTGGCTCCTAGCTGATCCTGTTGAGGACTGCTAGCTCACAGCCCTTGGCTCCTATCCTCATTCCCTAGGGAATGGCTTTCATTAGCCAGCACCCCGGAGTCTCTGTGCAGACCTCAGGCCATTCTACTCAGAGGGAAGGTACATTATAAGTCACTAGACATATTTGGACCTAGACTGAGGATTTTAGTTAGGTTCATTTGGTTGATGTTCCAGGATTTTCTACACCATGTATAATTTTAATACAGTGAGCTAAGTAATTCTTCCATGGTGGCCCCATCTTACACTCCTACTAGTGTTCTCTCACCTTACGAATCAAATATCTTGCCCCCCTGTTCTTTGCTTTCATCTTTCATTTTCCTCACTGGTCCTTGCCTGAGTTCCTGGGCTTGGTTGGCATTTGATAATGAACAAAATTTCCCTTGCTCTCCTCCTCTACTATTAAAGAAGCTCCCAATAGTTGTAAACAACTTGCTTTAATTTTTTGAAATTAAAGCATCGAAATAGAGGTAGTTTCTGTTAAAACCCTTGTAGAATTAGAAAGGGCTATCCAAATACTAGTTAAGAGAAGCTGGGATGGAGTAGAAAGAGCAAAGGCTCTGGCATCTGAGAAACCTGGGATCCAGTCCCAGCTCTGTTGTTTAACTCTGGGTAAGTCACTTGACCTCTGTTGGCCCTTCATCTGTGAAATGGGGGCAGGAATACTTACTTACCTCACAAGTCACTAGCAGAGCGGAGAAAGTAATTGTGCAAAAGCACTTCATAGAGAGCACAGGGCCATTGCTGCCACCTATGAGGACAGACCATCAACAACCCTCCCTTTCCCCCTAGAGAGCCAAGGACACAGTGAAGTTATGAATCAGAAATAAACCTAGACATCAATGGTCCACTGAGTCTTGACAGGGGTCCTTGCCAGGAACCCCATTGAAATTACCAAGTAGCCACCATCCACTCCATTTGTGCCCATGTCTGAATGATTCAGAGTACTCTTCACACTAGTCCTCATGACCCTTCTCCTCAACTCACCAACCTAGGAGCTTCTCCACCAGCCAGCCTAGTTCAGATTTGGCTTTCACCTATACCATGGGGAAATTCTTCAAGAACAAAGGACATTCTTTTCTCCAAAAAAGCCCCAACCCAGAAACAGTTTTTCCGCTCTCACACCCAAAGTTCCCTCAGGTCCAAACAGGAAATCCTTCTCCCTCCTCCTTCTTCCTCCTCCTTCTACCTCTGAGGGCCCCACCTTGTTGTTGCTTCCCCCACTCCTCTGTGCTTGGGCTTTCCTGAATGGAAAAGGGGGCATGGAAATGAGAAGTACACATACGAAAGAGATAGAGAAACAGACAGACAGGCTGGGCATGAACAGGAAAGGCTTTCTCTTGACTTAGGGTCACCAGCAGGAACACTCAATGCTTCCAGTCAGCCTGATTCTGCCAGGGATTTGCTGCCCAAAACTGCAGGGTTTTTTTTTTTTAGCCCATCTTTCATTTTCTATTACCCAGCCTTTTGACAGTCCAGAGTCAAATTAAAACTGCCTTTCAGGTTCTTGTTCCTCAGGGACCCCAAAATGGGACAGAAATAGCCAAGGGCCTAGAGGCTATCTGTCTCATTTCTGAGGTCAAAGGAAAACCGCTTTTAGGTACAAAATAATTCCCTAAACACATGAGGGACATTCCTTTAAAGCAATAGTACACAGCCCTGGCTGCAGATCAGAATCGCCTGGGCTTCAATTTAGGCCATTTAAATAAGAATCTCTGAAGGAGGGGGCCCAGGAATCTGGGTTTTTTTTTTTAAAGCACCTCAATTGATTATATTCTCATAGGAAGCCAGGAGGATAATAAGTTCTAAAGCTATTATCTCTATAATTTGAGATCAAGGTTTATTAAATAAGTAAATAAAAGCTTAGAAATGCTTTAAAAAGAAAAGAAGAAAGGAGCCCACTGTTATGAAGCACCTACTGGGTGCTGAGTCCTGGCGTGAGTTGAAAGAGAGGTTAGGGTATGTGGGGAGGTTGAGATTGAGGTTGAGATTGAGGACAAGACCTGGCAAGCAGCTTAGCCCAGGGCTGGCTCTTCAAATGCAGGGGGTGCGGTGGCGAGGGGGGGGGGAGTTAAAAAAAGAGTCCAGATGCTTTTCCTGGAGAAACTCCAGGATGAAATTCCTGAGAAGGGGAAACTACCATTACTCTTACCTGTAGCTAAAAAAACCACAGGACCTGGGTGTAGAGGTGCAATGGGGAGAAAAAGAGGGCGGGAATCTGTAATACTCTCAACAATAAAGATTTTGAAAAACCAACTCTTGCCTTCCATCTCTCCCCAAGTCTGTTAGGGGAAAAACTACCCAAAAAGGTTTCTGCTAAAAGTGTGTTTAGGGTGGGGGAGAGTTTGAAAAGGCTATCTATCTATATAAAAGCATAATATGCCAATTAGACTGGATAACTGAACGACCTTCCAGATGTCCTTCTGGACAACCTTAGGGCCGAAGCAGGGGGTGAGAGAGCCAAGGACCTTGCACGAATTTTGTGCATTGGGCCTGTAGTATTTACATAACCAGAATGAACCAGAGAATTTATAACACCCTCCTCTCCTTCCACCCCAGAATGTACCATAAGAACACAAGCAACTCATGTTAACAAGAAATATTTGCAGATGTTTAAAGGCAGTTACATTCTTGAAGCAATTGCTTCTGAATCCTCCCTTCAAAATATGCCCATTGTTCCTTACCCCAAGCCTGGCTCTCACCCCCAACAGGGGCCTCTGTGGAAAGGGAAGACCCTTCCTTACCATGTCCTTAAAGCCTCCAAGGACAGCGGCAGTGATGATGCCCAGGAATAGGCCGACGATGTTGAGGATGGTGGCAGACCAGAGCAGGTGGTAGAGATGGATGATGTCCTGGCAACTGCTGACATCGATGTATTCGTAGTACCCACCAGTAATTTCCACCCTGCTGGACAGGGAGAAGCACACTTCAATCAGTCCTAGGGGAGCAGGTTGGGCCCTAGGGCTTTGGCTACCACCCAGCTCAATGAAAAACAGGTGAACTATTGTAAGGGATATCACAGGTATGAATGCACGTGGGGAGCAAGATACTATAATAAATCCAAGTGTGATTGCTGTTTATTAAAAATCAACAATAAAAAACGACTACCTGCTAGAGAAACACTTGTTATCACTAACACTAATCCTAGATGACATTATTGACACTTGGCAATATGCCAGACACAGTGCTAAGAATTTTACATATGTGAATTCATTAAAACTGTGCTAATATGGCAGTTACTAGTCACATGTGGCTATACAAATTTAAATTCATTAACAAAGTAGAATTTTTAAAATTCAGTTCTTCAGTCTCATCAGCCATGTGTTACATGCTCAATAGCCACACTAGTGGCTGGTTACTGTGCTGGACAGAGCAGATTACAAACATTTCCATCATCACATCAAGTTCTATTAGACAGCACGGTAAATCCTTAAAATATTCTGTGAGGTAGTTACTATCACTATTCCCTTTTTACCAATGAAGAAACTGAAGCACAGAGAGGTTAGGAACTTGCTCAAGTCGTAAGAGGAAGGGCTGGGATCTGAATTCAGGCTTCAAAGATATCAGTGTTTCCTTTCTCAAGACAAAACAAAGCACCAACAGCCCTAGCTGGTTTGACTCAGTGGATAGAGCGTCAGCCTATGAACTGAAGGGTTCCAGGTTCAATTCCCGGTCAAGGGCACATGCCTGGGTTGCAGGCTCAACTCCCAGTAGTGGGTGTGCAGGAGACAGCTGATCAATGATTCTCTTTCATCATTGATGTTTCTATATCTCTCTCCCTCTCCCTTCCTCTCTGAAATCAATAAAAATATATTTAAAAAAATAAAACTAAAACACTGTGATTCATAAAATGAAAGTCAGAACCAAACGTCCTGGCATCAAGATGGTTATTACACGTGACTCCCCTGCTATAAGAACGCTGAAAATGAAAAGGAGGAAAAAATTAAAGGTTAACCTTCAGAATGAATCAGGGATTAGTCACACAAGAAAAGACTTTTAAACCTGACAGATGAATTTATCTTAGGATTCCTTAAAATCGGTGTTTCTCTAACAAATTGAAATCAGGGTGGTTACAGGCCAGCCTGGGTCAGAATCATCTGCGTTTGTGTGTATGTGTGTCTGCTTGTGTGTGTCAGTGCATTATTTGTGTGTGCCTATGGGTGTCTTTGTGTATGATTATATGTCTTTGAGAAAGAGCTAGTTAACACTCAGATTCTTAGGCCCAGCCTCAGTCCTACTGAATTTGGCAGAATTGGGGGCAGGGGAGGGGCGGGTGAGGCTCAGGAATCTGTGTTAACATGATCACTGATGTTAGAGAACCACTGTTTTACATAGTCAGCTGCCGTAGTGGAATTTTAAAGGTATTTCAATTCATCAGAATTTTAATTGGATTTAAGTATTTTCCAGAACATAATTGAAGAGACCATCCATAAGCATACAGTGAGTGTCTTCTGTTTGTTGGCACTGTACTCAGTCCTGAGGATGGGGCAGGGAGGACACACAGAACTTAAACTCAAAAAGGCACGGCTGGACAAGGACTATCCCCTTGGAAAGGATAGGCCTGGGTGTAAGGGAAAGTGTGGGCTTGTAGGGACCCAGGAGAGGCTTGAGAGTTAGCTCTGACTGCCCCCAAATTTTCTATGCCTACCTCCTAAGACACTGAGGGCAGGCTGGCAGTACATATAGATAGGCAGTATGGCATAGCAAACTCTGGAGTAGGACTGCATTTGAACCCTGGCTCTCACTTATTTGCGGTCTGACCCTGAGCAACTTTCTTAACCCTTCTGGGCCTGGGGGACTTAATTAGAGAATGTATAAAAGCAGCACTCCAGCACATAATAAGAGCCCCCACCAAAACATGCAGCTATATATTTTCCCCCTCTAAGAGCCAGCCACTGGCAAAAAGATTTAACTTTGAATCTTGTTGTTAAAGGCATTAATGCTTTAAAGGCACAGGCCACCACCTGATAGATCAGCAGTTCATTTAAAAATATTAAATAATTGTAGAGAATATATGTTTGGTTTCTGTTTGAGTGGGTTCAGTAGCTATTGAAATATTTTTTACTGAGCTATGAAGCAAAAGACCATTAATACTTAGATCTGGTTCAGGATTTAGCAAATTAGTGTGGTTTGTTTCTGTTTGAGATTTATGGTTCCATTTGGTTTAGTCTCTGGAATTGCAGAACTTCCTCTGGAATTTCATCTTTTGCATTCTCAGCACTCCTACCCTCAAGCCTCCATGGCTGCAGGGATCCCTTGCCAGACACCACCACTGCCTGATTCAGCTTCCTAAAACATTTTAAAAACTAAGTCATGCATTTAATCAAAATCCTTCCATGGCTCCCCATTACCTTCAGGAAAATGTGTCCAAATTCCTCAGCCTGCCATAATCTGACTCCAAAATGGAGTTCACACTCCAGCCAGGCTGGAGTCCCCAACTGGCCTTGCTGGGCACTTAATCCAAAACTTGCTCAGATTTCTCCCCCTGTGTGCAAGGCACTGCCTTCTATTCTCTGCCTATCCTTCTCTCCCACTGCTTAAAACTTCAATAGTCACCTCACTAGTGCCTTCTTCAAGGACTCCAGTGCTGACTCATTAGCCTTTTCCCTGGACTCCCATAGCCTCAGAGAGTCTATTTTTCTTTTCTTTTTAAAAAAATCCTTACCCGAGGATATTTTTCCATTGATTTTTAGAGAGAGTGGAAGAGAGAGGGAAAGACAGAGTGGAATATTGATGTTAGAGAAACACATCGATTGGTTGCCTCCTCCTGCAGGAGTCCCAACCAGGGCCCAGGCTGGGAAGGAGCCTGCAACCGAAGTAAGTGCCCTTGACCGGAATTGAACCCAAAAACCTTTGGTCTGCATGCTGATGCTCTATCCACTGATAGGCTGGCTAGGGCGAGTCTGTTTTTCTTAGTTTGCACTTTACATATGTCAATAATTCAGTTATTCATTTAATCCAATGTCTATTTAGAGCCTACTCAGTACTGAGTATTGTGCTGGGTACTGAAGCTACAACCAAGCCAAGGTGGACATGATGTCTCTGTCTAAATTGTAACCTCTTTAGGTCAAGGGTGGTCTTTTACCTACATTTGTGACTCCCTCACTGCCTTGCACAGTTGTAGAAATGTTATAGGTCATCAATAGGTACTTAGTGAATGAGTAACAGTTCAAAGACTGATCATTGCATTGATCGTGAGATTGATAACTCAATATGGGCTCATCCCCTTGCTGGGTGTACCTGAGAAACAGATAACCTCTGTGTTTCGGGCCCATTTACCCAAGTAGGAGGCATCAGATCCTGGATAAGGCAGAAGGGCATGCTTCTGCTCTTTGATAAGAGCCTGGAACCATATGCCAACTCTTGATTGGCAGGCAATGATAAGGGCAGCCTCTGTGCATCTCTCTTTCACTGCATGCATTCTGTCTAATCTCCCACCCCTTTCCACAATCTCCCTGGTAAATTGAGTTCCTTAAGGGTAAAATTATGTTTTATTGATAGGTATTCTTCTAGAATAGTCCCTGGCACATAGTAGGAGCTCGATAAAAGTTTGTCAAAAGAAGAAATGAGTGAAAATAAGCTATCATCTTTCATTTTATTACCAGCTGAAGTAGTTCACAAACCACGCCCGTTTCCTTTCACTTCCTTTAGGTTATACAGTGAAAACCAGTGATATTGACTTGGCCTCTCCAAAGCTGAGTAAAGTGCTCTGAAAGGCTGCTACTGGGGATCTGTGTCCTAGAGAAAGCCACCTTCCTGCACAAGGCAAAATAAAATAATCTATGTTTGCTATTAAAACCTCACTGCCCCTGACGTCAGAGAAGGTCTGTGGCTTTGAGGGGACAGTAGCAACTCTGTGTTTCCGTAGCACTGTACAAATGACTGCCTGATGTGTTTGTTCCCACTTTTTTTTCTCTTGGCCTCCTTTCCAGGAAACGGACAGAAGGAGCTGGCAATTGATTAAAAATAGTCTTCATGTGAGGAAAACAAATACGCATTCGGCAAAATTAAAGACTCTGAGCCCCAGAATGCTTGCGGCTAGCTATATTTAGGCCTGGAGTTTAGGACTCTTTGGGTACTGGCTGGAAAAAGCCTTGGGTCAAGGTAAACTTTTTCCTCTATTGTAGGATCATCACCTCTTAAGTCTCATGATCTTGATTTATGACCTAGTGTGACAGTTTCCTGATGAAGAGCTTAGTAAGTGCTTTTCTGGTAGCCTTGCCCTTGGAATCTTAGCATGACAGACTTTGCAAAGGGCCTTGACTGCTGCCCGAGGCTGGTCACCAGGCACCAGGTAGGTGAAAAACATTTCCAGGTTTGAAGATCTTTAAGAGCAATATCCCCATGATCCTCTTAGTTGCCTAGTCCCATATTTTATTTTCCTGGTGAAAAGGATGTTCCTCTTTTTGTTCCTTTTCAACAAATGTCACTCCCTTTTCATCAGGTATTTACTCATGCCTGGGCCGGTGCTGGGTGGGGACTGGGATAAAGATAACATGAAGTCATGTTCACTGCCTTTAGTGAGCCCAGAGTTTAGCATAGCTCCTCATAAAATTCCTTTAGACCATTGAAGATAATACTAGCATAACTTGCTTTAAAAAAGTCAGCCCTGGATGGTGTTTCTCAGTGGTTAGAGTGTCAGCCCACACCCCAAAGGGTTGTGGGTTCGATTCCCAGTCACGGGCACTGACATACCTAGGCTGTAGGTTCTATCCCTGGTCATGGTCTTGGTGTATGCAGGAGGCAACCAATCGATGCGTCTTTGTCACCTATGTTTCTCTCTCTCTCCCTCCCGCGTGTGCAGGAGGCAACCAATCAATATGTTTCTCTCACATCAATATTTCTCTGTTTTTTCCTCCCTCTTCCACTCTCTGAATATCAATGGAAAAATATCCTCCGGTGAGAATTAAAAAAAAAAACTAGAAAGTTGGTTATTATGAAGATTAGATTTGACAGAAAGATAAACTGGGCTTGAATCTCCACTTTCAAAAGAAATCTAAGGGCTCAGCTAAATGAAATTTAAAGTAGGATTTAGTTCATTCAAAACTTTGTCAGAAATACACCTAATTGCAAAGAGAAAGCTGTATCTGCAAGGAATCGCTTCTCAGCCTCCTCAGTGGGCCTCCTGTTTCATTCTCAGATCTCAGGCCCTATTCTGGCCAGCTCCCAGCCCCCTGCCCCAGGAGGCCTTGAAGCCGGAAAGGAGAGGGGAGCAAGGAGTAGGGAGGAGGCTGTTAAGAGGAAGGAGGAGGAAAAAAAGAGAGGAAATGGCAGAGCAGGGGAAGGAGGGATAAAGAGAGGCAAAAGGAAAGATAGCAACAGAACCCCAATTCCCCTGGGACCTATTTTACATTCCTTTGATCATTTTTGAAAGGATGGACTCAAGAAGTACAATTATAGCCAGCTCTCAATCACTGCTGCTAGGAGGGAAGTCCTTTACAAGTGTTAGTTATTATTATAACATGAATAATTAAACCTCCCAGATAATCCCCAAACCTCATTTGAATCTTTAAGTTTCCTTTCCTCCACCAAACCTTTTAACGAAATGAGACTGGTGCTAGCAAAGAAGGTAAAGGACTGGTGTGAGTTCACCCCTTCCCTTCCCTGCCTCCAGTCTGTTCATGTCTGGTTTTAATCCTCAACTTAGAGAAACTACACCCCTCCCATACACAAAGTAGAGAATGTGAGTGAAGAGGGGGCCTGCATCCATCTGACCCCTCTGGATCTAGCTCCATTCAGGCTTCTGCTAACTCCCCCCTTCCTCCTCCCTCTCCTGGCCCTCAGCACTCCTGCACTGAGAGTCTAGAGAAAATATGTGCATGGGCAGGAATTGGCTGACACACCCCATAGTCAGGACTATTCACTTATACTCTGTATCTTTTGCTCATGCATTCCTGTCAATTTTACTTTCTAAATTGCTCTTGAAAGTGTTCCTTGCTGTCTAGTATCTCCAAACCAACTTAATCCAGGATCCATTCTCTTTGGTCTAAACTCTTGCAGTGACCCCCTAGCTCCTTTCTAAACACTCAAATCCATTTTCCATGCTATATCCTCCAATGGACCCCAATTGTTTACAGAGTCAAGTCCAAAGGCATTTCTCTGGCCAAGGAGCCCTCCATAATTTGACCTGTGACTACAACTCTGCTCTTACCACCTACCCCCTTGTTTAACCCCACCCCCATAATGCTTGGGAATACTTCCCAACTTCCACCCACTTTTAGTTTGTTTCCTAACTTCCTATTTATCCTTTAAGTCTCAGCTCCCACACCAACTCCCCCTTGGCACTGCACCCCCTAGCAACTCTGACTTTCAATCATCTGTGTTTCCAGTGTCCCCAGTCCATCCACTGATTCCCCACCACACTAATCATACTATATTGCAATCAATTGTTCATATATCTGTCTTCCCTACTAAACTTGTGAACTCCACAGCAGTAGTCTCTGTATTCCTAGCTCCTAAATGTTTTGAAAGAAATAGTAAATGATATTTTCACAACTGGAGGGCAGAGAGCCAGAATGGCTGTAGCAGAAATAGCACCAATCCTGTTCCTGCCTCAGGGCCTTTGCACTTGCTGTTCTCTCTGCTTGAAAAACTCTTCCCCCCCAGGTATCTACTTGGATTGCCCTCTCTCATTACTCAGGTCTCTGAACAAATGTCACCTCCTCAAAGAGGCCTTTCCTGATACTCCATCTAACACAGCACACACATTCCCCTCCTGTTACTACCTATCTGCCTTTTATACTTCTTTTTTTTTCAGTGCTCTGATTAATACTTGGCATGTTATACAGGGTGGTGCAAAAGTAGGTTTATAGTTGTGGGTACCCAAAACATGAAGTTTATTCTTCTACTAATATTTTTAAATTATTGTATTACTTTCCATACTAGAGGCCCGATGCACGAAATTTGTGCATGGGGAAGGGGGCGGAGGTCCCTCAGCCCAGCCTGCACCCTCTCCAATCCGGGATCCCTCTCGCAATCCGGGACCGCTGGCTCCTAACCGCTTGCCTGCCTGCCGACTGATCCCCCCTCCTGGCTTGATTGCCCCTAACTGCCTCTGCCTCAGCCCCACCACCATGGCTTTGTCTGGAAGGATATCTGGTCTAATTAGCATATTATCCTTTTATTGGTATAGAAGCCTGGTGCACAGGTGGGGGCCAGATGGTCTGCCCTGAAGGGGGTCCTGGATTGGGGTGGGGGTCCCCTTGGGGGGCGGAGCCGGCTTGAGAGAGGAGCCTGGGACGGTTTGCAGGCTGGCTGCCCCGATCGGGGTAGGGGTCTTCGCTGGGGGGCAGGGCTGCCCTGGGCGAGGGGCGCCTGGGGGTTTGCAGGCCAACCACATTCCCATCGGGGTGGGGGTCCCCACTGGGGGTGGTACCAGCATGGGTGAGGGGCTGAGGGTGGTTTGCAGGCCGGCCACGCCCCTATCGGGGTGGGGGTCCCCGCTGAGGGGTGTGGCTAGCCTGGGTGAGGGGCTGAGGGCCGTTTGCTGTCTACCTACACCCCCATCGGGGTGGGGGTCTCCACTGGGGGGCGGGGCTGCCTGGGCGAGGGGTCCGGGGCAGTATGCACAGGTCGGCCAAGCCCCTGGCTTTGTCAGGTAGGATGTCTGGAAGACATCAGGTCTAATTAGCATAGTATCCTTTTATTAGTATAGATCAGTGGTTCTTGACCTTCCTAATGCCGTGACCCTTTAATACAGTTCCTCATGTTGTGGTGACCCCCAACCATAAAATTATTTTCGTTGCTACTTCATAACTATAATTTTGCTACTGTTATGAATTGTAATCTAAATATCTGATATGCAGGATGTATTTTCATTGTTACAAATTGAACATAATTAAAGCATAGTGATTAATCACAAAAACAATATGTAATTATATATGTTTTCCGATGGTCTTAGGCGACCCCTGTGAAAGGGTCGTTCGACCCCCAAACGGGTCGCAACCCACAGGTTGAGATCCGCTGGTATAGATGAACAACTGTAAACCTACTTTTGCCTAACCCTGTATATTCACGTTTATTGACTGATTTACCTAATAAAATAGAAGCTCCAAGAGGGCAAGGATTTTTGTTTTGTTTGCTGCTGAATCTCCAGTGTCTAGAATAGGACCATGCACAGAGAAGGTACTCAATAATGACTTGTTAATCCTCACCCAAGGATATTTTTTCCATTGATTTTTAGAGAGAGTGGAAGAGAAAGGGAAAGACAGAGAGAAACATCGATGTGAGAGAAACACATCAATTGGTTGCCTCCTGCATGAGCCTCACCCAGGGCCCGGGCCAGGGAGGAACCTGCAGCCAAGGTACGTGCCCTTGACCAGAATCAAACCCAGGACTCTTTGGTCCGCAGGATGACATTCTATCCACTGAGCCAAACTGGCTAGGGCAACTTATTCAGTATTGTTCAACTTGGACTTAGAACTGTGTTTGACCCTATCTCTATAATTTTCAACTTCTGTGTGACCTTGGGCTAATTGTCTGTTTCCTCTGAGCCTCACTCTCATCATCTGTAAAATGGGGATAATAATTCTACAGACATTATAGACAAGAATGAAATGAGATAAAATATTTAAAAGTACTTGACATGCTTCCTGGCACAGAGAAGGCAGGTAATGCATTTGGGCTGAAATCTGTTGACTGACTAGTGTCTTCTACTTCTCTGATCCCTATGGCATGCCCTTCCCCGATCCTAGCCCTTCTATCATCCATTGTGATCAAACCAATATTCCCATTCCTGGAGGCTCCACTCTTACTTGCCACAGTTGTAGAGTTCACAGCAGAAGCAGGTGTTGCCCCGGATGCGAGGCGTGCAGAATCCGCGGGTGAGGTGAGGGCAGTTCACCTGAGGGCACACAACAGTGAGGAGATGAGCTGGCATTGTATGGGAGGCAGGACCCTCTGGGATTGGAAATGTGAGTTAGCGACATGCTGTGAGATGAACACACCAATGCATGGGAGGGTTGGGCAGGGAACTGGCTGAATTGTGCATGAGGCAACTCACTGTGTAGCTGGGCTCAAATCCAGCCTCAGCCATGCCCTCAGTGTCCCATCCCTGAAAGTGGAGATGGAAAGGAGGAAGGATGGATGGAAGAACAGACAGAAAAACAAATAGATGGTAGGAAATGAGGATATGACAGGGAAGGCAAATCATGGTATAGGAAAGGGGACCAGATGGGAAAGAAGACAGAGGGGCTGTCACATGCACCCTGAAGTACAATGGTACCTCTCTAGCTGCCTGGGTAAGGTTCCTCATAACCCTCGCGGAAGGAGAATTTTTGGTTGAGGAACTTATGACCTTACATAGGAAAAATAGGGTTAGGGGGACAAGGATTATCAGAGAACCTTATGGAAGTTATTAACATTTTTACAGTCACCAAATTAACACAAGAAAGCAATGACAACGAAATTGAGACAAGAGCAATGACATTTTACCCATCATGATTAGCAAAAAATTTTAAAGATTAATTTCCATTTACTCTTGTTGGTAAGAAATTTTCCAGACTCTCTCCCCCATATGGCTATACAGATGCAATGAAGTGTTTGTAAATTTGTTCAGTTGTGTTACAGAGAATATTCATAGTAAATGAACATTCATTTTCATCCAAATGCTCACGGACTTTCTGATAAGCATACAATATTTCTACTCCTCTCTTCTAACCTGAGGATAGTTAGAAAAATAGTAAATTTGTAATTGGGGAAAGGAAAAGAAGGCAAGTGGTTGGCAGGGCCATAAAAAAAGTATTTTCCCTGATGCCTTGGGAGCAGGGCTATCGCTCTGCCTAACTCCATAAAATATAACTTCACATTATGTTTTGTATAGAACTAGAGGCCCAGTGCACAAATTTGTGCACAGGTGGGTTCCAACCAGCCCACCCTGATCAGGGCCGATCAGGCTGGACCGGCTGTGGGGAGGCACTGTGGGCAGTTGGTGGGCCGTCCCCAACTCCTGGTCAAACTCCTGGTCGAACTCCTGGTCAAGGGGACAATTAGCATATTAGCCTTTTATTCTATACGATGGCTTCCCCTGAAGTTGTGTAATGCAGTGGTCATTTTATATCCACTCGTCTCTCTTTTTCTCCCAATCACAAGTTTAAATTTGTTCTAACTTTTGGCGTGGGGCGGGGGTGGTGGTGGCGGGGGAGGGCTGACTTTCAATTTAGGGATTAACAGAGAACCAAAGTGTCAAGGTTCCTAGAAGCACACAGTACAGTTTCCTATGAAAGTGACCTCTGGGTTGGGGAAGGGCTATTATGTACTGAAATGGAAGCTCTCCAAAAATGACATGGAGCCGTGCTTCACCTCACTGTCCACCACCTCTAGTTCTGCATGAAAGGACATGGAACACAAAGAGAGCTGTGTGGATCAGTGGAGAGAGACTCTCATGTACCCATTCAAACATTATCAGATCGGTCTCATGAAAGGGACCAGGCTAACAGTCCAGCCCTCCCCAGAGCCACCAAGGGAACTAGACCGCTTAATCACCCTCATTTGACTTCCTGACCCCTCATGTGTGGAGGACTCAGAATCTGCCCCCTAGTCTAGGCCTAGTGCCCTGGTGGAGCTTCTGATTTTCTTCCAGCTTGGGCAACTGAACCACAGGCAACTGAATCATTATCCACAGAGATGGGAGAGGACCCTGCACTGTGGCCTCTTTACTCTTATCTGTTTCTCTAGGGATCAAAGCCACAAACTGAGAGGCTGCCTGCAGGGGCAGAGGGACAGCCTGTGTCCATAAAACAAAGTAAATCTTATTAGGCCTCATGAGGCTCCAACCTATGACCATAGCCTTATTAGCACTGTGTTCTGATCCGCAGAGCATATCAAAAACAGATACCTAGCAGCCAGCCTTAGGCCCCTGAAAAGGAGTAAAAGACAAAGGTTTTATACAGAACAGAAGACTTTCCCAAAAGGTAAGACATATAGCCTCATTCTGGCTCACCTCCTCAGCTTCCTTCTGGGATGTCTTGGGGACATAGTGGCACCGGTTAGCGTAGAGTGGTTTCAGATCCTATAAATGGAAACACCAAACCAAAGGGGTTTTGGCTTTGGAAAATAAAGCAGCAAATGGTCTGATGGGTAATAAAAGATTTGAAAACACACACACACACACACACACACACACACACACACACACACACACACTCTCTCTCTCTCACACCCCTGAGAGAGTAAGCAGTGGGTTGAGTTAATTCAACTAAGAAGACTGAGAATGTGAAGATCAGATAAAAATCTTCTAATAACTGCTTTCAAGTGGACCACTTGGTTAATGGGAAATTAGGAAATTGATTGAGAATTGGGTTTCCTCAAATTTCCTCTCTTGTTTTATTCCTAGTCTTTTTCTTCTTGCACAGAGTTCCCAGGGACTGAGCTTCAAAGCTCCATGTAATTGCAACATCACACTCCTAAATGATGGGGAGGGGATGGGGTTGGACAGCATAGTTCTAACAATGAGGTCTCATTATCACCTGAGGACAGGACCCGGGCTGGCTGACATGTACTCCCTGCTGTCAGGGCCACAGCTTTTCCAGAAGGAAGAGCTCAAGAAGCAAGCTCCAGGGGATGGGCAGCTACTGAGATTTTAACTTACCCAAACTATGAGCCATTTTCACAAATTAGATAAAGACAGAGAACTCCAAAAATACTGCAAAAACCCAGAAAACTAACATGGGCCTTAGTAACAGTTGATTTACCCACTGGCTTGGCTAGCTTCCTCGTAAGAAAGCTCTCAGGCACGAGGTACAGGGGGTGGGGGTTGGCATAGAACAGATAGATACAATGCTGCCGGGAAGCTTGCAGGCAGGGGATGTTGTTCACTTTCAGGGTAACAGTAAACATCCCCTGAGTGGTAGGGGGCTTGGGCCAAAAACAGGTTGGGACAGGACAATCAGTTTATGCAAACTGACCTTAAGGATTTGGCCAAAGCATCCTGGCAATGGGAGTTTACCAATTCCTTCCCACCCTGCCCCCAATTCTCTCAGCATTTCCAATGATCCTGGTGGCTGCCTTTCCCCACATATGTGATTTAGCATCTCCTGTTCCTGGCACCCAAGTGCTTCCTGCCTCCTAGCCTCCATACCATCAAGGACCTAGGACTTTCCATCAGCTGCTTCTACATGAACCTCCTGGCTGCCCAGTGTTCTAAAAGTACATTGTTCTATTGCCTTAGCCTGGAGTTCGGCTGGAAAAGCATGAGAGTTCTCATGTTCAAACCCAGCAGGGTTTATTTTCCATGTTCGGGTGATAGCAGAAGTTATTATTATCCTGTGTGAATGGGAGGCTTGATGTGCTTGCTGGTCACAGCACTCCTGACCTCCTGGTTCTGCAAAAAGCATTCAGCCATCAAATACCCTAAATGAAAATACACATATGCGATGGCTGCCCATTTGGTGTTTCTGGTTGCTATTCCACATTGAGATCCCAGAGGAAGAACAAGCCTATGCAATTGAGAGATAAGGAAAGGTCACTCAACCAGGGCTCAGCAACCTTTTTAATCTAAAGGATCACCATCTCTGGAGTGAAGGGATGGAAACAGATAGTGCTTTGTGGTGAGTATCTGCTCTGTGCCAAGCCCTCTTAGGGCATGTACACACCCATGACTTCATATTGTCCTCATACTTACCCTGACAGGTAGGTTATTATTATATCCATTTGGAGAAGGAGAAACTGTGGCACAGAAAGGTAATATGACTTTCCCATCTAGTTAATGGCTATATTTGGGGGAGGAAAAAGGGAGGAATTAGGAGGCGAGAGAGAGAAGGAACAAGAAACATTTACAGGGGTGTATAGGAAAGTAGGTCTTTAGAAGTTCATATGCCCAAAGCCAAAAGACAGGGCAAGATGACATTAAAGGGCCTCAAAAAACAGGAAAAGCTGGCTTTAACCCATCCAAGCAAAACCAGGGTCAAGATGTACCTCTAATTTAAACTGGCCAACAGATATCACTATAAATGAATAAAGCCTCATTCCTTAAAAGTCTCTGGGTGTCAATTAGGACTGGCAGATGTCTTAGGACAGGTACCGTGGATACACAAAGGTTTTCTTAAAGATTCATCCAGCCTTACCCCAACCCACTGAGTCAAATGTGCTACTTCAGGCCACTATCTGTGGGAGGTACACAGAGCCTGGAGTCAAAGGCAGATAGGGGTCATTAGAGGAAACTTCTGGTAAATATAATTTGGATTTTTACCCATTGTCTTTGACTGAAGCCAGTAATAAAACATTAAGAGTTTCCAGCAAATGCAAATCAAACCCACAATCAGATACCACTTCATACCCACTAATCCACTAGGATGGCTAGAATTAAAAAGTCAGATAATAACAAGAGTTGACAGGGATGTGGAGAAACTGGAACGCTCATACACTTCCAAGGGGAATGTAAAATGGCACAGCCACTTTGGAAAACTGTCTGGTAGTTTCTCAAAAGGTTAAACATAGTTACCACATGACTCAACAATTCCATTCATAGATATATAGCCAAGGGAAATGAAAACATATGTCCATACAGAAACTTGTACATAAATGCTTATAGCAACATTATTCATAATAGCCAAAAGGTAGAAACAACCTAAATGTCCATCGGCTGCACAAACAAACTTTGGTATATCCACACAATGCAATATTATTAGGCCATAAAAGGAAATGAAGCACTGATACATGTTATAGCATGGATGAACCTTGAAAATATTATACTAAGTTAAAGAAATCAGGTCACAAAATACCACCCATTGTATGATTACATTAGTGGTTGCATAGGACTGGAAAGTAGGGGATGGGGAGGTGACAGCTAAAAGATATGGGTTTTCTTTGGTGGGATGATGAAAATCTTTTAAAATTGATGTGGTGATAGTTTGCACTAACTGTGAAGATATAAAAGTCACTGAATTGTATACTTTAAATGGGTGAATTATATGAGATGTGAACTACATCTCAATAAAGATGTTTTAAAAAATTAGGAGAGGAGGGAAATGGAAGAAGCCATTTTAGCTTATGATACCATCAAAATCTACTGCAGGCTTCTTAGCCACAAGGCCTATGTTGCCATGGAGACCACCACAGAGTGAATAATGTTTGTCAAGTGGGGATAATAATGCCTGCCCTACATACCTCACAGGATTGCTGTGGGTCTCAAATGAAATAATAGATGTGAAGGCACAATGAAACACTACATGCATACACAAAAATAAGGCATTATTGTTATCAAGATGGCTCCTATTGAATTCAGAATTGCATGCATATTATGATTGAGTGCAGTCATGCTGCAAAAATAGGTATGTGCTCTGAAGGTAATATGCAAAAATGATAATAATTGGTATATGAGGGTGATAGGATTGTGGATAAGTTCCTGATGTGTCATTTGCCTTTTTAAGAAGAAAACGATGAAGAACAAGATGGCTGCTCTCAGTGCAAATCAGAGGGGATGGGTCTGATCTAAGGGCCTACATTTATATCCTGGCCCTGAAAGAAAATTGGGCAAAGGGCCTCTCTCTCCCACCTTTTTCTTTTACCCCTTCCCAGAAATCATTTCCAGAGATGCCATTTCAGATACTGCTTGGGTGGCAGCACTGACCATATGAATTTCTCTAATCTTGGCAAAGGAGGAACTAACTGTTATGTCTGGGAGGAGAGTCCAAGAACAAGTTTAAATTAAAATAATAATGTTGCAAATCATAATTTTCCATATCCAACCATACATATGACACTCCCTCAGATGACCCGCACTATTAGCCCATGACTGAAATGAACTTAAATATCATTGATCCACAGAAGATCTCAATAATACAATTTTGCTCCAATTCAATTGTTTTAGAAAAACAAAACAAAGTCAAACTAGTTCATGACATGTTTTCATTTTTGATGTTGGTTCAGTTGGAATCAAATGACTATTTGAGTTTGTTGTGGGAGCTCAGTTATTTGCTGTGGCTTGATTTTTGTTTGTGGGCCAGATCGGAACTACACTATGACTTCCCTGGGACTTAGACACTTTTGCCTTTGTGGGCCCCCTCCTTCTTTAAAAATATTGACAATTATATTTTATTTATTTTAATTATATCTTATTATTTAATTGCCATATATTCATATTATACAAAAACTTTTGACCTAAATATGCATCATTTTCTTCTGATTTGAAAAAAAATAATATTTTTATGGGCCCCTGAAAATAGTGTGAATCACAGGCACTTGTGCCTATTGTGCCTAATGGAGAAGTTGGCCCTAGGCCAGATGTCTAGAATAGTATGAAATAGAAAGTGCTGAAAAAGGGAAATGGAGAAAGCCATTTTAGCTCATGATGCCATCCTCTCCTATAGAGAGCCACATAGGAATGCTCTGAATCCTGTGTCTATCTTATCCCCAGAGAATAAGCACAAATTTGGGTTTGAAGAGTAAAATAGCCTTTTTCAAGGCACAGATTCTCCAGAGTAGGAAGCATTTGGCATCTTAACACCAGGACTGGGCTCTGAATGGAAGCTTCTAGTTCTGGGACTTTCCCTAGACCCCAATCACATCTCTACTCTCCAATCACTGCTGTAGTTGACAGCAAAGTTCAGGCATCCAAGAAAAAGTGGTCTGCTCTTGTTGCTGTTGAAGGAGAGGCCATCTATTGAAAACTTCAAGTCTCTCAGGAAGTTACTAGTATGTGGTTTCCTGCTCTTCTCTCCCTACTTCCTCTTTACCAACATCAGTTCTAAGGCATTCCCCTGGTCCCACTGCCCTGCCTTTGCCTTTCCAAATCTCACCCACATGCCAAAGGCTTAACTCCAGCCCCACCACCACTGGGAAGCCTGCCCTGACCTCTGAAGTCCAAGATAAAACACTCTGGTACTTAGAGTCTGTACCCTCAGCCTAGACTCAGTTCTCTAGATGCCTGTGTGTCCATGGGTGTCCTCATCTTGACTGTCAGCTCTTTGGTACAGGGATCCTATCTTCTCTCTCTTCTGTTCCTCTCAGGGCACTCAGCACACATCCAGCACAGATTCAGTGAAGCCTTGCTGTAGTGCACACTTACTTTAAACCAGGACTAAAAATACTCACAATGTGTCTGGCAGCAAAGACTCCATCGACTATGGCACAACAGAAGGCTGCAATCACACCAAAGCTGATAAAGACGATAGAAGCCACCAACTGTGAAGGGAACAAAACAAAAGTGTCTGTTAGCTTTCCACTCTTGCTGCTTCTGGAGAATAGACGATCCCCAATAGACTGCCAGACAAAGCAGAACTCTGGCTTGCCACTTCATGAGGATGCTCTTTGCAGCCATGCAGGATTAGTGGGAGCTGAGGAAGGGCGAGGCAGAGAAGGGGCTGATGAAGCACCTTTTACATTTTCAGGGCAAATAAAGAAATTCACTCTGTGAGCACCAAAGAGGCGGCTTGCTGGTATCCAGCATGCTGTCCATGGCAGAATTTGACTGTGTGACTCTTCCATTCTCAGATTCAGAAAAATGTTGGATCTTTGACATCATGTAGTCCAACTCTCTATTTAATTTATTGTGAAATTAGAGGCTCAGAGAGTGGAAGTGGTGTGTGTCCAGGATCACCATCTAGTCCATGCAAGCGTCTGGTGCCCACCAACTCCTAGTCCAATGTTCTTCCCAACCCCTCATAGTGGGCATTGATGAATACAGGGATGATTCTGAGGCCTTGCGTAACCCAACATGGTCTTCTGCATCATTAAATAAAGAGAACATTCAACTTAAAACTTAAATGTCAAAGACATTTTACAAAGGTTGAAGCCTCTGACACTGAAGCCTCTGTGTGGTGCATATGAAGAATTTCAAGTAAGAAAAACGTTTGCTTGAACTAGATTGCCCTATTCTCTGACCTTGTTAGACAAAAGAAATATTCTTAATAATTTATCTTCCATTACAAAGGTGGTAGAGAGTAGGTGCTTCCAGGGGCATGGATAAGTGCAGCCTGAGTCCACCATCTACTTGTGTTGACCCTCAGAACTAGATAGATTCAGTGTTTTTCTTCTTTGAGGTGTTTGGGGGATTAAGGGGGAAATAGCATGGCATTAAGCAGCTCTCCAGGGAGAAGGAGGAATCAGAGCCAAGGCCACCCTAAGTTTCTCCCACCTCAACAGGCTAGGAGGAAATGCTTATCTCCTTTGGGAGTTGTTGAGAAACCTCTCCCCATAAATCTCACTTCACAGCACTAAAGAGAATTGGTAAATAATGGATGAACAATGTCATGAAATTGGCATTATTAGCTATGCTATGATCAGCTCTATAACTAAAACTCCCCCATTATTTTGAATAATTTAGGTCCAAAGTGCAAACACAACTGGCAGGGGGGAGTCCAGATGAAATGGAAAACAAGAACTATTAGAACTCCCCTGAGGGCGATTCCCCACATTGCTAGGGGAGAGCATATGGTAAGAGTTCTCTGTCCCTAGAGCTATTACATTATCTGATTAAACTTATTGTTAAATAGACCCCATTATCAAAGTCAAGATGCACAGAGACTTATACTGGGGGAGCCTAATCAGTCCACCATCTGACCACTCACCAGGCATCTTGATTTACAAGCCCTGTAAAACTACAATATGATTGCAATTCAGTCCATACCTTCTTTTCCTGCCCTCTAGGAAGCTTTCTCAGACGGAACCAGAAAAATACAACAGCTTGCCCTTGTGGGGCCCCATTAGGACATAGAACTTTCTAAATTTTAACTCCTGTTATATATGCTCATCCTCCCTTTCAAATTTACGGCATACTTAGTTTTGAACTACAGATAATGGAAATACTTTAAGACTCCATATTTTATTCTGTCTTTTATGTGCCTCAAGTATATTTGTTCTCTTAATCAAAGTACCCTAGATTATAACTTCCTAAAAGTGGGAACCCTCTGCAAAAACTTCTTCAAAAGATTATGCATCAGAGAGGAAGATGTGACAGTCACCAAAAATCCAGGGCTGTGGCAATGAAAATCACAGAAGCAAAGGGATTTTAGGTGAGGATAGTCTCCTGACTGGATAGTCTGGGGCAGTCCTCTGGGAGTGAGGAGGAAAGCTAAGGGCAAGATCCAAAATATTGTATCCCTGTGACTTGAGGAGACTAGCTAGGCCCCTGAGGGAGCACCAGACAAGATGAGAACAAGTCCCAACCACAGAGTCACTGAAAAACAAGTTCCCTGGAGGCTTAGGCGAAAAGGCAAAGTAGCAGTTTTTTTGTGGCCCAATTTGGGCAACCTTAAGAAATGTGTTACTTTCAGATGAAGAACTTGATTCTATAGTAATGAAAACTTACCATCTGTCGTTTGTTCTCAACGAGGTTGGATCCGATGATTCCAAGGAATGATCCGAAGCCGAGCTACAAAGCAACAAGGCACACATAGCATGTTAGGAAATGGTCAGCCTGACCGCACATTCAGCTTCTAGATATGATTCAGGTTAATGGAAAGTGACGAGGGTATAGATGCTAAAACCATATGCAGCCGTTACTTACACAAATAAAGTGTATGCAATAAAAGTATTTCTCCCACCAGTTGCCAATTTTTCCTTGTATATAGGAATCACGCCTAAAAAGAAATGTATCTCCCAAAAACTAAAAGTCAAAGTCAACCCTAGCTTTTCAGAGCCTGCTAATTTCAATTTCAATATTCATTACCTAGCATGTAAGTGGTGAATCAGTAAGAGACATATAATGGGAAAAGCATGAATTATATTCTGATCTTTATCCTCTTTAAAGTGACCTTCCAATTTGATGTATGGATTACAAAATAAAGGTTTGAAATAACAATTTTTGATGCATCTGGCACACTAATAAAACCCAGGAAGTACTTTAGAAATCAGCAAGCACCTTAACCTAAACTTAAAAAAAAAGAACAATTTTTTTGAAAGCCTGTATTTGTGGTTGACCCACTGCAATTTATGTTAGTACTTACTCACCTCTCCTTCCATCTCTGCTTCATTTACGGACAGAAAGCATTCATTAAAGGATGTACAGAAATGGCAGCATAAAACCCTGAAAAACAATTTCCCTATCTACTAGTAAGTGGCTGTGCTGATGGTTTGGTGTAGCAGAACCCACTTTCGTCTCAGTTCTGCCATTAGTGGACTGAGTCTGCCAGTCTCAGCTAAAAATGATCACTAACTGATAGCTGTTGATGGGGATGAAAATGAAAGAAGTAAAAAGTGGTGAGAATGGACCAATAAACCTTAACACAAGTTCAGCGATGTAGTTACATATCTTTTTAGCCTCACTAATGGTTTGGATTTCCATCTACAGCCTTACCTTGGCTCACAGGGGCATCTATTTCAGTCCAAGGCCCTAAACTTTACATGTAGGCTTGGAAATCAAATGGACCCATGGACTGGGCAGGAGTTTGGTGGGGCAGTGTAGGGGGACAGGGTGGTTGTCTCAGAAACCCAAGAATGAAACGAAGGAATACAAATGTACAAAGACTCACTCCGCAGGGCCACTCAGCCAGCAAACCCTCTTGGGAAACAGACGCTGAAGTCCATAAGGTTGTACAGATCCCATGCCATCCAATACTCTACTAAGAACATCCTCACTGAACAGCTAAACTATACCTATCTCCCACCTGGTCTTATTTCAAAGGTAATTAAAAAGAGTTGTCCTAAAGTATACTGATTAAAACCTGGTTATTTAAAAAATATAAAAAAAGTCTGGTTATCAGACTAGCTTGGCTTCTAACCCCAGCTTGTGTTCCACTTATGTTTGTGCAATCTTAAACAAACTGACTGACCTCTCTAAACCTCAGCTTCCTTATTTGGAAAACAGTGACTGTAGTAGTGGCCCTGTTATAGGACTTTTATAAGGATTAACCAAGATGATACAAAGAACTTTGCACAGTGCCTGGTACATAGTAAGTACTCAGTAAATATTAATTACTCTTCTAGTGATTATTATTACTGTTTTAAAAAACAATTAACTTTTGAGCAGCTCTAACCTGATTTGAGCTAGAAAATTATATCATTACTAGAGGCCCAATGCATGAAATTCGTGCAAGGGGCTTGGACCTCACTGCAGCCCTGGTTTTGTCCGGAAGGTCATTCAGCTGTCTGATTTAATTAGCATATTATACTTTTATTATTATAGATTTGCTGTGTTCCATAGTAGACTTATGTTCTATCTCATCCTCCCCTCCAATATGTTTCACAGCTTTTATTTTTTTTAGGAAGAACTCCATGAATAGTCTGTGCTTATGGAACTCTGGGCCACTTGTGGACATTGAGAGGAAGTTGGAGGTATCTTCTTACGTGGAAAATAAATGCTTTTACTGAGTAGTTCAGTTTCCACAGGTATTCACTGAATGTCTCCTGAACGCCAACAGCAGCCTGCCTTAAGATGGGAAGCAAAGACACTAGCTATTTCTGCACTCTCATATGGCTATCTAATGGCAGTGACCAGAAGAGATGGGCTAAAGTTTCAGGGGATTGACTGGCAAGACAAGGCACACTGGTACTGGAAATCCCAGGCAAGCCAGTTACTTCATTCAATTCCCTCACGTCTCCTTCCATTCCATTCTGTTCTACTTCAACTCATCCAATTTTCTAACATTCGCTGAGTATTTTGTCAGATAAATAAGAAGATATGGCCCTGACATCCAGGAACTCATAATCTAGTGAAGGAGATTCATACTGTGGGTTAAGGACTTCAGGTATAAACAAAGTGCTATAGGAGCAGAGAATAATTCATTTTTTATTATATCCTGGCTCTGTTACTTATAAATTGTGTGGCCTTGGGCGAGTCTTTGAACCACTCTGTGCTTCATTTTCCTCATCTAAAAAATGGGACTCATGCCTGGTCAGCATGGCTCAGTGGTTGAGCATTGACCTATGAACCAGAAGTTCATGGTTCTATTCCCAGTCAAGACACATGCCCAGATTGCGGGCTCAATCCCCAGGGTGGGGCATGTTTATCAATGATTCTCTCTCATAATTGATGTTTCTATCTTTCTTTCCCTTTCTCGTCCTCTCTGAAATAATAAAAATATATTTAAAAAGTAAAATAAATTACATTTTAAAAATGGGACTCACAATGTTACCTATAATGCATGGCTACTATGAGGATTAAATGTGATAAGGTACAGGTATACTTTGGAGATATTGTGGGTTCGGTTCCAGACAACTACAATAAAGCCGCTATCGCAGTAAAGCGAGTTGTTATCTATATGTTGGTGGAGGTTCTTGTCTTCAATTTGTAAAACACGCAACATCTGTGAAGCATAATAAAGCAAAGTGCCATAAAATGAGATATGCCTGTGTGTAGTGTGACTTGCATAAAGGAGGCTGCTAAATACATGGCAGGTCTAAGATTTCACAGAGGAGGAGGCATTTTAACATGAGCTCAAATGATAGGTAGATTCACTAGGCAGGAAAGTAATTATCTTATGAATCCTGGCTGGAAGAATTCACTCACCTGGATGACAGCTTGATGACCTCAGCAGTGTTGCTAAAACTACCGTACCTTTGAAAAGTATTTTAATTTTGAGAAGCACTTGTCCTCCATTTTGGTCATAGTAATGTTATGGAGTTTGGTAGTGCTCATATCATTCCCATTTGACAGGAAAATGGAGGTCTATAGCATTGTATGGACATGTTCCTTCTTGTAGCAAGTTACTGAAAGGGCCAAGACTAGCCCACAGGTCTTATGAGAGTCGGGGTACTTTCAACCATGCTTTGATGCATTTGTGGCCAGTGTTTGTAAGTACAGTCACCTTTATAGCTGTCCACCCCCCGCCCCACAAGGAAGAAGTTCTCTCTGGGGATAGAGTGAGAAGTCCTATTTGAGGAAGTGCCGAGGGGTTGAAAGTAAAGAAGAAGAAAAAAATCAACAGAATTTCCTGGAAATGGACAGCTGCTTCTTTTTTTAAAAAAATATATTTTACTGATTTTTACAGAGAGGAAGGGAGAGAGAGATAGTTAGAAACATCGATGAGAGAGAAACATTGATCAGCTGCCTCCTGCACACCTCCCACTGGGGATGTACCCATAATCAAGGTACATGCCCTTGACCGGAATTGAACCTGGGACCTTTCAGTCCGCAGGCCAACGCTCTATTAGATAGAGTGTATCCACTGAGCTAAACCGGTTATGGCAAGGGCAGCTGCTTCTAATCAACTGTTTGCTCTCCCGAAGCCTCAGAAAAACAATCTCTAAAGAGAACTCTGGTGCACTGTTGGTGGGAATGCAGACTGGTGCAGCCACTGTGGAAAACAGTATGGAGGGGCCTCAAAAAATTAAAAATGGAACTGCCTTATGACCCACTGATTCCACTTTTGAGAATATATCTGAAGAAACCCAAAACACTAACTTGAAAGAACATATGCACTCTTAATTTTATTGCAGTATTATTTACAATACCCAAGATTTGGAAGCAGCCCAAAAGCCCATCCGTAAATGAGTGGATTAAAATAACCTGTGGTACATTTACACAATGGAATACTACTCAGCTGTAAAAAAAAAAAAAAAAAAAAAAAGAAGGAAAATTTACCCTTTGCAATAGCATGGGTGGACCTGGAGAGGAGAGTATTTTGCTAAGTGAAATAAGCCAGTCAGAAAGACATATACCACATGATTTCATTTATATGTGGAATCTAATGAACAAAATAAACTAAGACAAAATAGAAACAGACTCACAGATACGGAGAACAGACTGACAAAGAGGAGAATGGTTTGGAGGGCTGGGTGAAAACAGTGAAGGAATTAAGAAACAAAAAACACCTCAGAGACAGACAACAGTATGGTGATTACCAGCGGGAACGGGAGGTGGGGGTGGTAGAAGTGGGTAAAGGAGGGATAAATGGTGATGGAAGGAGACTTGACTTTGGGTGGTGAACACACAAAACAATATACAGATGGTGTATTATAGAATTGTGCCCTTGTAACCTATATAACATTATTAACCATTGTAACCCCAATAAATTCAATAAAAAAAAACAAAAAAAAATAACTATTTTTTAAAAGAAGGGTAATCTCTGTGATCACCCCTTGAGAGCTACATGTATTCATGGAACATTCAGACCTTTGGACCTCCAGCTTGATCCCCTATTACATGAACAAATAACCACTTTGCTTTATTTTGGCTACCCTCCACTTGTAGAAGAAAAAAGATAAATCATTAGAAATCAAAGTCAGAGTGGCAAGTGCTCTTTTTGGGCTGGGCCCTACAACCTATACCTATTTCCATCTATTGCCCCAGAGACCCAGTGCTGAAGCTCAGAATGATTAGTCATTCAATACACAGATATCAATTGGACACTTATTCTGTGTCAGGCACTGTGATTTGGAGTCCAGGAGGCGGGGAGGGGTATTACACCAAGACCACCAATAAGATTTAGCTTC